CCCAAAGCGGGAACAGACTTCTGGTCCCTGTGGTCCACAGGATGAAGGCCAAACTCTCACTGGTCCCTTCCTTGACCTTTGATGACGGCCATGAGCCTGCCCCGCTGTTTCTCCAGGCTTGTCCCCTGCCTCTGGGCACCTCCCCTTCCTTGCCTCCAAACTTCCACGCTTTGGCTTCGATGCTGCGGTCAAGTGGAAAAAGTCAGGTGGAAGAACTAGGGACTCCAGGGACAAGTAGTTACCTGCTGTGTGACCTTGGGCAAGTCACTTAACCTCTCTGAGTCTCCCTTTCCTCAGCTGTAAAGTGAAGTCACGTCTAAGTCTCAGCCTGGTGCCTGCCCACCTCACTGGAGACTAATTAATATGCATCGTTGGAAGGAAGGAAGAAAGGGAGGTACTTCTGGTGTTCCCACCGTATGCTAGACCCTGTAGGCGACACTGGGGACCCTGGTGAATGGGCCGGCCCAGTAGCTGCTTTCCTGGAGATCTTTCTCGAAGGGCTGCGGATGTGGTTAATTGCAGCAGGAGGTTAAGTAACTGGGGCTTTGTCACTTAGGGCAGGATTTTCCCCAAGCCTATGCCCTTTGACCAGGAACCAGGGCACGGAGTTACCCTAATCTGACTTGCCCCCGGTCCACTCGGCTTCAATGGTCAGAGTCTGGCTTCGCTCCCAGGGTCTGCTTTTCCAGGCCACCTGGCTCTCCCTTGTGTCCCTAGCACCTAGCGGTCGGAGAGAGACCGAGACTGGGACACTTGGAGAAGGCGGGAGGTGGGGGGGAGCCGGGGAGAAGGGGGGAGGCGGGGCCTAGGCCTCCACTTGGCTCCGCCCATGCTCAGGTGTGCGCCAGCCTGGCCGGGGAGAAGCTGGCTGGGTCTGTCTCCTCCTGGGTCCGGGTACACATCTCGGTAGCTGGTCCGACCCGAGCTCCGCCCTGCCAGCTTCTCAAACCCGCTACAGCGCCCGGCACAGCCGCCACCCTCCGGGAGCCGAAGCGGGAAGCTGGAAGGCGGCTCCGAGAACTGAACCGGAGGCCCGCCCAACGGTTCCTTCAGGCCTCCATTGTTTTCTTAAGAAACTTTGTGAATTTTGCATTCCACTCCCTAGCAGATCTGTGTTTGTTTTAATATAACGTGATTCCACCCCCCACCCTCACCCCCGCCCCGGGAGGATTTTATATATGTATATAAAATCATGATTCCCTCTCTTCCTGCCATGAAGGTCACAGTAAATCTGACTGCAGAGAGCATGCCATTCCTAACCATGGCCCAGCAGTGTCCCCACCGATCCCTGTGGGGATGGCCCCCCACAGGACACTCTTATCCCTGAGTACCGCCTTCCCTTCCTCCCTTCTCAGATCTGACCCCTATCAAGTCACTATATCCCATCCATCTGTTTCTGTGGCTGCCTCAGCTTAGACAGCGGCTTCTGTGTCCCCAGGCCCCAGCCCAGGCTCGGGCCAGTCTGTTGACCACCTAGAAAACAGCTCATGAAGGAATGGGCAGGGTGGTGGCCGTGTGTGTGTGTGTGTGTGTGTGTGTGTGTGTGTGTGT